ATTTTAATTTGTAATTTTATCTTGTCACAGAATATATGTTTTAATAAAATTATCATTGTTTAATTTCATAAATAATCAATGTCTTAGACATTTGTCTAAATAATGAAAAAAAAACTTTCAGTTTTTTTTTAGGAAATATTAAGAATAAAATAGGAAATATAAAACTCAAGTTCATAAAATGATTTAAAAATCAATTTTAGGATTTGATAATGTCGACATTTTATGTATTTACTAAGAACTATGAATAGCCTTTATAAATACTAAATTATTATTTCATATAGCAAATGACATAAGCCGACGGTTGGGTTGGGTTCTAAAAAGTCTTAGACAATTTCCATTATTACAATATTAATTCTACACAAACATATTCGTTTACTGTATCATACGCTCATAAATTATTCACAGTCGTATACCAAATAAAGTAAAAGTATATATAGTACATAAGCAAATATAATTAAATCATGATAATATAGTAATAGATAATAGAAGACCAAGAATGTAATTCATATCCAGGGTTGAAGAACAAGGCTAGTGATAGAAAACATGAAAGTTACTGCAAACCAATCATTAGATTGAATACTGCAGAAGAAGTATATAGTAATATTTCATTTATTTTTCACTTTATATAATTTTATTTTAATGCATGCTTTTAAAAAAATATAACTTATTTAGAGCATTTATAGACATATCTATGGCTTTAGTTTCATGCTGACTTTTCAAACTCAAAGTAAAATCCATCATCGGAAGGATATTAACGTGCCAAAGGTTGTAAGTATACTGTCAGTTTAGATTATATTCTGATTGTCCATATATCTGTAATTGTATGATAGCTAATAATGTCAATATGATTATTTTTCCTTATTGTCATGCTGTTATTTTATAATATCAGGATTGTTGAAAACTACAACAAAAATAAATACAGAAAAAATATTTGATAACAATCACTATTATAAAATTCTATTATATTATAAACACTATTATAAATCACTAATTAAAGGAAACATTCGCTCTCAATAACAACATGATAATAACACTAACAATAACAAAAAAATAATCATATTGATATTATTGTTTATGAACCGATAGAAAAATAATCAGAAAAAAACCTAAACCGACATATAGTTACAACCCTTAACTATCGTTCCAAAGACGGGCTCTAATACAAGTAAGGGAACTGAAAACAAAAATAAATCTAAAAATATTCTAAATGATATAATATCCACGAAGGCTTTAACACATTCATAAGATTCTAACTGTTTTATAACTTAAATGTCATTTTTTTAGAAATCACATTAAAATTTAATAAAAATATTTAAAAACAAAGAATTATTTACAACTTGGTGTACTCCACTTGGTGTAATACCAGTCGGTGTTTTGGGTTGGAGATGATTCTATAGAACTGCCTCTACATCTTACTACTAATTGATACATTATATTGTGTAATACAATCTTTTTTATAAATTTAGTATGATTTGATACTACAAGTTTTACAAAACTCACAGTCACGTATAAACCCAATCCAGTGTGAATTAATCTATTAATTATAGATATTTAGGAAAATAAGTTGTACACATAAATACACAATAGTATTCAGTTATTTTAAGAATGATAATATGTATAATTAATTTTTATGCCCGTCCATTATATTGTATTGATAAAATGTATCATAAAAAACGAAAATAACAAGCAAAATAATAAGATAAAAATCATATCCTATACAGAGAGAAAATTTTCTCATGTCAAATAATTTATGAGTTAAAAGATATTTTAGTACTATAAAAGTTTACCTATTGGAAATATTGTATTTTGGAAGAAATAATGATAGAGTTCAAGAAGCCGTATAAATTGAGGTCATTTTATTTTACGGGCGTGAATTCAAGCAAAAATTACTGATAAAGATGAATTTTTTTTTTTATTCTTCGAATGTAAAACTTTCGTAATTAATTCTATTGCTTTGTTTAAAGAAATATAAATGATTACTTATTTGTCCTAGTATGAAAGTTTTAAACCCACCTCTTTCTAAAAAAAAAACATATTATATCGGTTCATATACCATGGCTATAAACGTTTATTTAAGTTTTAGTATTAAAACATTATCATTTTTTCAATAAATCACCAGATAAACATTTAAGAAAATATATCTAAAGCATTATTTTGAATAAGTTTTATGATTAGTTATACAAGGTGGCTTGATAACCGCTTTTCTCAAAATTTTTTTATCCATACATTCACCGTTGGTCGCGATGGAACCGCACTTTTTCCGTCAAGATTAAAATTTTTACGAAACTCACGAATTGCACTCACGTAAGATTCATTATACTTATAAAACATAATTAGACATCGTCTAGTTATTTGGAACCAGATTAACCATTCCCCTACCTTTTTTTGAACAAAAGTTATTTATAAACAAAATGTGAAAGGTTATTATAGGCCACCTTGTATATTAAGATAAATAACATTTTAATATTATTTACTAAAACATGTCTACTCACATTAATATTATTACATTAGTATTAGCTCAATAAAATAATATATCATGACATAATATAAATTTTTACAACAATGAATTTATTTTTCATTGAAATAGTTCAACACTACAGTTTTTTTAGATTACGAAGTATTTACAATTATTTTTAAAAATAATCATTTTAATTGTATCAATAAATTAATTATCACACAAATTATTTAATACCATCCATCAATAACTAAATTATTATTAAAACTAAATGAAAAAAAAAATTAAAATTTCAACATGGTGAATTATTTGATTATTATTATATTTCTTAACAAAATACTACACATAGAGATCTGGAAATATGTTAAAAAAATTTAAATTTCTTGCAAAACTAAAACGTGGGTTTATTTATTGTTTTAAAAGCGCAGTATTGCAAATATATATTATTTACTTTCATGATACACGTTATACCCTCGTCAAAATGATTTACTTGGGTCACTTACACATATACTTCTTTATCGGTAAATTAAACATAATACATTTTTTAAAGTTCGATATGTAGAAGTATACAATAGTAGGAAACATTCAGTCTTTTTGAAAGTACTTTTTAGCTTTGACACAAAGCTAAGAAGGTATTAATTTTATAATGTATGAATTTTTTTTTTTTTGTGCCTGGCACTACTTTTTCTCAGATTAGGTATTTTCATTTCGTTTATTATAGATTTTTTCAAAATCTGACCCCTTACTTGCCCACAAGGAGGAAGATTCAATATAGCAACTTTTGCACAACAATTAATTTTTTTCAATTTAAGTTTTGAAAATGTTCCGAAAATACTGCATCCTTTAAACAAAAATTAAATTAAAGCTTATATTACGTACTATAAGTTAAAAAAAAACTTTGTCCCGACGACATAATTTCTATAAGCAAAAGGTTGCCGTAGTGAAAAAACATATGGTATATTTATGTTAAAATTTGCAATTTTATATTTTCTACTTTAAATTGCTATACATTTTTGAAAAATTTATGGATCAACACAAATTTTCTTTAATCTGACACGCATTTTGAAATCGAATAATTCATACAGGGGGGTTTTGCCTCCTCTTAAAAAAAACGACTTTGAATCTTCGAACTAACTTAAATTGTCCTTACTAGCTTCTATTTTATGTAATGTACGGTGGCCGCCTCAATTATAATACAATCCTTCAAACTCGAGTAACGAGTCGGGTAAGAATCCTTACACAATTAATTTTTAAAATGTGATCATATTTTTCTTAAATATATTTAGTAATATTATAAATATCTGAATTATTGCTATTTCCCCGGTCAATTTTTAATAGTTTGAATGTTTGTACTAATATTTTTTCTTTTAAATTAAATTGTCAATGCTTAATAAAAAAATAATTCTTTTATTGTAAATAGTTGTATTTGTTAAGAAGAAATAATAATTTACAATATTCGCATTGCGAATTGTAACAGAATCTAGCTTTGGAAGACAATCAAAAAAATCAATTATTGTTAAGATATTTCAAAATGTTTTTACTCTTAAGAATTGTTGAATAATTTTTTAAAGTAAAAGAAAATTGTTAAAAAGAAATTATAATCAAAATCTAATATTCCAAGTTAAACACTCAAATTTTTCAATTTTTCTAAAAAATACGCTATAATTCCCGGAAAACGTAGTACAAAACTCTCGATTAAATTTATCATAAATTTTACAGGTGTTAAAAAAGCACTCATATTTAACACTGAATATATTCTTAGTATCTTGAAAATTGTGCTATATCAACTATTATATATGATTATAAAATGCAAATAACTTATCCTTAATACTAACTTTAATTAATTCACATATATTATTATATCCATCAACTAAAAATTGAAATATTATTATATATTAGAACTAAATAATATATTAATGAATTAGATAAAATATCTGTCACTTCAAACCTTACATTTTTATTGTTATTTTCTTTTTCTATTATTTTATCTATTACATTCAATAATATTTTTTATGCTTTGTACAATTTAATTGTTTATATTTTTTATCTTCATACTTACTAAATACAGCTTAAAAGAAAGCAATTTATCTATATAATAATATATTTTTAAACTAGTCATATAACTAGTCATGTATTAAATCGTTAGTATGATAATAAAACTTCAAATTGATAGTACGTGAGATGAGTTCTTGTAATAAAAAACAATAAATTAGGTCCTTTGCAATCTTGTAACGCATTATAACAAATAATTTTGATGTAATCCAAGTCCACGATTATCATAATACATTTGAAATCTGTCAGCTTTTGAGCATCTGGGTCATTATCTTATGCCATCCAATGGTTGGGTATAACGGTAAACTGTGCTTAATGTTAACACAAAATGTTAAACAATAATGTAAATTGAATGGGATAAGGATAAGATGAAAAAGGTAAGATGAACAAATATATACTCTGAATAATAATATATACACCGCACTCTTGCGACGCCTTTTAGGTAACGACGACCATTCATGAAAGTCACAAGAGAAAACCTTTAACACGTGATAAACCCGCTGTTCGGTCTGGTCTTTGGTCGCGCTTTCAGTTAGTCAAACGAAATTTTCGCCTAAACTTTTGAATACAATTATTTTTACGTTACCAAGGCATTTTGTAGTTCACAAGATATAAATCAACATTTTAACTATTCACGCTGTCAAGCTTTTTTTTGCAAAACTTAACAAACTCAATTTTGTCAAACGCGGGTTTTTATTATCCGTCTTAGCTTAGTTTAAAATCAAACCGGTAAACTAATTGCTTTGAAATAGTAAAAAATAATAAATAACATGTTTGTTGATGCAGTATACTTTGTCACTCCAATTTGATTAATTATCAAAAAATGCAGTAATTACGCAAATATTTCAGTGAAATTTGGCAGTTTTTGTAAGTAAAGTTACATTAATAAACTTTTTTCTGTCGGCATTATAAAATGTTTATAAGATAATCAAAATCAAATAGTATGATTGGGAAAAATTGTATAATTATATTTTCCATAAAATATTTTTGAAGAAAACTCAATTTTAAAAAATATATAAAAATTTACTACTTTATTGTTCATTGATGACAAATATTTGACTGCTGCATTGCCACAATTTTTAAGTGATTAAAATATTATATTAACATTCGTAATACAGATTTTAATATAACTCCTGAAAAATTCTTCTTATTTTCTTAAGAGTCCACATGTCATTTACTGTGAACTAAACATTCGACTAGTCTTAAAAAAATTCATATAACAACATAATAAAAATTGATGGAAAATTAACTAACTACTAAGGGTTACAAAAATAATCAATTATATAAATAAAACTATTCATGTCTATAATATTTTATTTTCTATTAAACAATAGGTGATTATTATATGAATTGTAAATTTATAATTGCATTTTTTGTAAAAGTTCCTATACTTAGACAAACAGAAATAATTGTTTAAAACATTTTTTTTTAATGTCACTGATATTTCTATACTTCTATGATTTTAAAATGCAAAAGTTGAAAACAGGAATATTAATATTTTACTTTATTGTTTACATTATTTATATAAATAAATAACAGTAACATAACATATGTTTAATTATTTAAGACAAAAAATATTGTGTATTTTGCAGAAACGTATTCAAACTAACTAAAACTATTTTGATTAACTTTTTTCTTGGATTTACGATCCGTTTCAGTTTTATGCATTTCAACACAAATGGAATTTTTTACTTTATGGAATACATTATAACAATTAATTTAATTCAAATGCCTTCTTGTAGTTTTAGGTCAGTTTTAAGAGAAGAACAAATTCAGTACGCTCAATCCTTATTACTATATTAGTTTTTGTTAGAATATTTACATTATTAGAATTAAATAAATAACAATTAATAATATTAAACAATAATTATTTAATTTAAACTATAAAAAATTATAATTAATTATTTGTGTTTATTTAATAAAAACTTAATTTAAACATTTTATGCTTTAAATACAATTCATTAAAATATTATTAAAGCCTTTATTACTTGTATAAAACATTGTTGAACAATTGTTAAAATACTAGGTACATTATTAATAAATAAATTCGGCTATTAATAAAATGATAAATTATTAAAAAATTTTGTCGAAATATATGTTCCCATTTACGATAGATTACATGTATAAAACTGGTATTATTAACCATTCATCACAACTTTGAAAAAATCTAACTTTGACTAGTTTCATCCATTTTTTTTCTGATTATGTAAGACATGTTTAGTGAAGTGTTACCAAAACATATTATGTGTTCTCTAATTTCACTAAAGTTAAACCTCGCCAAGGTCATGAATTTCAAGATATTTTTCAAGCCGATCAAGTTAATGTGACATATATTTTTCTAACTTATTTTCATTTAATTTCCTCCATTTTACATTGTTGTATCTATAACCCAATTTATTTATTTTTATTTTTTACAAATGTTTAATATTATTTTTATCTTATAAATTTATTTTTTATGAGTAAAATAATTAATAATTTACATGTTTAGCCTGCCCAATAACATCAAAATATTGAAAGCATTATATATTATACTATACTTTATTTCATTGCATTCAATAGCTTTATAAATATTAGAAACAAACATTGTACATTTCACAAGGGTTATAATTATTTTTGTTGTATAGTCATTTCAATTGCGTTAGCTAAAATATTGAAATACACTTTAATAAAAAGAGTAAATAGAGTATAAATTATCAATATGATTTTTTATTCCAATTAATCGTTTCGAAATCACAAAATTTCATTTTAAAAACTTAAATAAATCAGTAATAATAATAACTCTAAAAAACATACTTAAGTTATATTTGATTGCTAATTAGTAATTTTTAAAAATAACGCTTTAATATCATTTTATTTAAAACATTATTTTAAAAAAAATTTTATTAATAAAAATCATATTAACCAAGTTTCTTCTGTTTTATTACTTATTTTTACTAAAAATTATTGTTAAAGTAAAATATTTTGTTGCTCAGCAACGGCGATATGTATAGACAATTTTACTACGTTGGAGAATGTAGTATATATTTTCACGGTCATCCATTTAATCACGAATGGATAAAATAATAAAAAGTAACAATAATGAACTTTTTTATTAATATCAACAATAGATAAATTGAAATAAGCTAGTTAATCTGCTATCATACTTAAAGCCTCATTTGATTTCATAAAGTTTACAATTAATATAAAGTAAAAATATTTAATTAAAATATGGACAGTTACAACATTTGTTACTATATAAGTATAAGTATTAAATCGATTAGAGTACCCAATTTTTCTGCCCCCCCTGGTCTTTTTATTTTTTTAATAAAAATTGTTTTGTTTATTTGAAAAAAAAAATTATAATTTATATTGTTTCATATTTTAGTGTCATCCGGGTAATACAGTGCTCACCCTTCTAGATACGGCCCTGAGTATAACAATGTGTATATTATATATTATTTTACAACATAAATATTAAGGAACTCTTCTGGCTTGATTTATGATTTATAAATTAACAAAGATAATTGACTATAATAAAGTATACTTCATCAATATTTTTTCTAACATGTATTGTTACTACCTTTCAACAACTGAAACTATAGTCCTTTCAGATAAATAGTAAATTTTATAGTTGATAAGGCTTGGTAATAAGAAAGAATAATATTTTAGATGGTAAAAGTGAAAAACACTATAGTCGCAATCAAAGTTTGGAACTTAAAGCATTTTAAAAAATTTGTTAGGCCTGATTCTGAAACACCCAAAGTATATAACGTTCAATATTAAGAAAAATTAACACGTATATTTAGTGTTGAATTTAGACATTTCTTCTATGAGAGAGCTTTAACTTGGGAGTGGTTACAGAAAAAAAATTATGTACCATAATTACATAAATTACTACAAAAAAAAAATTATTGAAAAATGAATAATTTTCAACTCATTATTATACAGAACATCGCGTTAATTTTCAAAATAGCATTATTATTATTGTCACATTATGATTATCAGGAGCAGGTTATCAAAATTCCTAGGAACTGGAGTCCGTTTAAAGTATACCTAAATTTAAATTTAAATTTTTAAATGCTTTAAGACTTCAGCTTTAGTTAAAATAGTAAGTTGTAATTTTGTGCAATACCAAGTTAGAAAAATATAGTTTTCATAAAACACAATAAGCGTACGATTTGTAAAAACATGCAACAGATTTTCTAAAACTGTTGCTAGCAAAGTAAAACATTTATGAAAAACCCGAATATTGTTAGATTTCTTTGGAGGTAGTCAAAACTATTTAAACTCACTATGATCAAAAATAAGGTTTTAACTGTTTTGCATTTAAACATAAATATCTGATTTTTAAATAACAACAGATCAAGTTTTCACAAAATACTCTAAAAGAAAAATTTTTAATAATATTATTCAATCATATCTGAAAAATATTTCTTCATGGACAATCAATTACCCCACTGAAAAAATACTTTTTAACCAATTTTTTGTCGTGGAAATATGAAAAGTATATGTTTATTATTCATAGTTATCATATTATATGGTTTAACTAGAGGTATTTATAATATAATATAGTATAAGGTATTTATCCTTATACTGCCTTGGGCTCGCTACAGTATGAGCGAGTTCAGCGAAAGTTCCTACGCTTTGCCAGCTACTCGCTCAACATAGTCTGTCCAAACCACGATTATGCCCCTGTCTCGTATTTGCTTGGCCTATCCTCATTAGCTGAGCGTAGGCGCAATGCTGGAATTAATTTCCTAATTGGTTTATTAAATGGTAATATTGATTCGCCGAGCCTGTTGTCCCTCATATGTTTCAGAGTCCTCAGCGCGCAACAAGAAATAATGCTCCATTTGTTGTCCCTCACTGCCTAACTAATTATGCAAAAAATGAGCCACTTAGGCGTCTTATGACTAATGCCAATGTTGACCCTAACTTTTCATTTTAATATTTGTATTTTTCTTTATGTTTTATAATTAAATTCATTTTCATTTTTTATTTCTATCTTTACGTTTAATAATTAATTTACATATTTTTAGTATATATCTTTTTATGTTACAATAACCTAATTTATGTACTTGTATTATTTGTAAAAAGGGCTTCTGCCCGTGAAATTATAAAATAAAATATCTTCTTCATGCTTTTTGACAAAATTTTACGCTGGTTGTCCACCTGACGCAACTCATTAGTCGTCTCTTGCGACTGGCAGAGGTGTCGTGGAAGTATTCTTATCCCTTATCGACAGGGAAATTAAAGGTATTCAATATATATGACTTTTAACCAAAGTTTCACTACTATAGCTATAACTATAGCTTCCATTTTCAAAACATTGCTTAACTCATTTTGACTAAGAACTTAATTAATTATGATTAAATCGATTAATATTTTTTTATTTTAAACATCAAGGTAAATAATGAGTTTAACCTTATTACCCGAAAATCTATAAGGTTTTAAATTGAGTGTTTTAAGTACATAATTAAAGCATGACACACAAAAAAAAAATGATAATTTAAAATAAAGTATAAACTAAATTAAATAAATTAGGAGCATTTTATAAAGCTAACCGACATAGTTCTATGTTTATATACTGTTTGCTGCGTGACCATTATAAATAATTAAGAATCTCCTGTCAAGATAATAATTCATATAGTTTCTACTCTACTCCAGATAATACTAACATGACTCCACACAACTGTTCTAAACTTAGTTAACTTGCTAGTATTTGTGGCCATATTGATGTTAGAGAAAATGATAATCAAACGCAATATTTTTTATGTTACAACATAAAGATTACTTTATTTTTCTATCATTTATAATATTCTATTCAAACTCTCATATTCAAACCTATAGAGACATTATTATTATTTTAGTTAATATATAGTAACCCA